GTTTACTTGCGGTAAAACAGTTAGTGAAAGTGTGGCCTGAGAAGGCTTTTGGATGGCGACAGACGTCATTTCTGTTTTTTTAAGAACGGAACCCTTTTCTTTGCGATTTCCTTACATATTCAGGCTTCTTCATTTCTTATTTGATACTGAATACTATGCCATTCTGATGTCGAAGTCTTTTACATTAGTGAGTTTTCGTACGCTTGTACGGCCTCTACATTTCCAGTTGATTAAGAGATAATTGGGCGGCAATGAACATTGAATCTTAACACAATGGGATCTTAACACTCTGGAATCTTAAAACAATGAAGTCTTAACACAATGGAATCTGAAAACAATGAAGTCTTGACACAATGGAATCTTAACACAACGGAATCTTAACACAATGGAATCTTTGCATAATGGAGTCTTAACACAATGTGACGAGGACTGTAGCAGCTTATGCCATTATTACAAACATATTCTGTTTTGAAATGCCTCCTTCCCCAACCCCCCTTCGTCTTCGAGAGAGGCGATAAATTGCTGATGAAATCAATCTTTCAAACTTTCAAGTCCTAAAAGCAATGACTCCCAGTTGCACTTTGCTGCTATAAATGAAATCAATCCTAATTATAAAAAAATTTAGTAGTTTCTTAGTTCTTTAGTTTGATTTTCCTAGGAAGCATTTAGGAGCATTTCCAAAAACGATGGAATGTAATCAAAGAAGTTCGAACAAGACTGGTCCGAAGCATGAGAATAGATGCGTGCTGAGTTTGACGGCAGCCGGTATAAGGAGACTTTGACTGAAGTGCACCAAGTCGAAACGAACATGTCCACTGTCCCATAAATGGTGAACAGGACACCCAACAACCAGCTCTCACACATGCGTGTTATAGCCGAGCCATGCACTCAAGAAAACGAGAACATTAGCCTACTTATTGAACTGCAGAATGAAATCAAATTTTTAGTTAGAAATAGCAGAATCCATAGCTCTAAAACCGAGTGCGTAAACAGAAAAATTTAGGAAAGAGGGTGAGTTTTTAAAGAAACTGTGGTGCTTCGTCGATATGGGAGAGAATAACAAGTAATTTAGTGTTAACAACTGAATTGAAAAAGTAAATTGGCCACCGTAAGGAGTTTAAAAGCTGACGTCTCGAGCGTTAGCTCCAAGTCATAGCGATAGATAGGGCTAACACTCGAAACGTCAGCTTTTAAACTCTTTACGGTGGCCAATTTGCGTTTTCAACTCAGTTGTTAACACTTAATTACCAGGAAAACTAAAAAGCGCACTGGCAGAGCTGCAAAGGTCGAATATAATGTGTTCCAAGATGCGAACAGTTCTCAGAGAGTGAAACTCGAGGAAAACTATGAGCTTCGAGGAACAGATAATGTCCAAGGAAATACACGAGCGAATTTTCGCACCAAATGGAGCGGAGCCACTATGTTTATTATCCGCAAAATATTGACAACACTTACTATGTGCTGCGTGAGATGTTTGCTGTCGCTACCATCCAACTTTAAGACGTAACTCGGATCCTTTCAGTGGATCAAAATATTACTGGTGTATCAATGATTAACAACGTAAACAAGTAAAAAAAGCTGATACGATAATAATTGTTTAATAATAATTATTTAATTTTTGGTTCGCCCCAACACACTCGAGGAGAGGTCATAAAAATGTAACTAAATTAATGAAATAGCAAAAAGGATCACTTTGTAAACTATAAATTACTTTGAAATATTTAAAACCGTCCAAACATGGCACATGTTGATATTCAAAAATTTAAAAAATGTGTACTAATTAACCTATCATATGCCGGGCAAAATTATTGAATCCCTCTGGCTTAGATAGAGGCGTGAGGGGTTATGAATCAATCTCTCTAAAATGTTTTAAGCAAGCCAAAATGGCTATATTTCGTCTGTTCATATACATAGCATACCATGTATTTCTCACCCAAGGCCGTCGTTCAACGGAAATTATTACTGAGTTTTATTTGTGTCCTAAAAGAAAAATTAACTTTCTACTATGAGGATTTCCAAGTAAGATCTTGCACGATGCTCGGGTTTGGATTCACTTAAATGCATATGATTTTACTGCAGCAAAATATGATCATTCGACACTTAGGAAAATTGCTAGCAGCGTAACAAAAAATAATGTCATCTTTCGTATTGACATCTTTAACGATTAAGATGAGTAACACTCAATTTTTTCATTAAAAATCGTGGTTCAATCTTTCTTCTCGGTTTGTTCACGACTGAACACGCGATGAAAAATTCATAAGATATGACTACTGTAAATAAGACGAAGACTTAGTACACGTCACATTGCAGCTCGACATTTTAA